TGAAGTCTGAAGCTCTGGAGGAGCTTAACCTGGAAGATTGCCTGCCTGCCCAAGTAAGCCAAACCTGAAGATCTCAGCCTGGACTCTAATCAGCTCTCTGGGAAGAGCTAGGAAACAACTCTGATCCGTCAATCCCTAGCTAGAAGCTAGACGCTGCTGCTGCTGAACTCTCATTTGGCCCCTCCGTCTCAGACTGGACCCAACCGGTTCCCCCTCTCAAGGATCTATCAGAACCTCTTCAAGGTATCAACATAATTCAACTCAACAGTTCAGCCATTTTAGTCCCTGGCTAACCAAACTCTCATCTCATTCAGAAACTGTGAGACCTGTCCCGGACCGGCACCTGAACCAGTATTATTTACTCTGTGTACACTTCTTCAAATAAACATTGTTAAACTTTTCCTACGTCTCCGTTAGTGTTCTGCATGTGGGTTTAACATAGTGAACCGATCATGACACAACTAACATCTGCATGTTAGTTTAAAAAAAGAGTCACCATACCTTGGATAATTGCTGCATTAATTAGACTGACCTGAATTATGGCACCAAAATGAGAAATGTCCAAAGGTAAGCCTTTAATAACACCTAGTAAATGAGCAAATTGTCAGTTATAATAATTTCACTAACAATTTATTACTTGTTTTTACCCTAGATTTGAATAACATATTAATTAACTATAACTTCAAGTTCTAGTTATTAATAGATTCATAATCTGCTGGTAAAATTAAACAGCAATATTTATTGAAAACAAAAATGCACAACAAAACAAATAACATTTGTAAAACAACCATTGGAAACCGCCGATTACAAGCTTCAGGAAATTGAATTTACATAAAGAAAAGCTAATAGTAAGCCATCATTAACACCTTAATAAAAAATAACAAAGTTACATTGGGGCACGTGAAAGCAGTTGTGGACTGTAGATAACTGGATGAATTGGATGATGTCATGTTTATTGATGAGTAGGGCATATGTATAGGGTAAGGTACTGGAACTTTTTTCAGTAGAATCCCAAAGAGATTTATAAAGGGAAATGCCTGAAGAAAATTTCCACAATCATGTCCATGCAGCCTTAGATAAAGACACATGTCAATGTCAGGCCTGCAAATAATCCAGATAGCAATCCAATTAGAAAATTATGGTTGAAGTTGAATAGCATGGTTCATGATAAGGCTCTAACCTGCAAGTTGGAGGCAAACATCCAGAGAAAGCTGGAGCCAGATTGATGAAGACTACTTCTTGTCACTTATTAAGACCATGCCTCAGAGACTGAAAGCTGTTATAAAAGCTACAGTGGGTGCAACAAAGTGCTAGTGGTTTGTTGAAGTGTTCACTTGTTTTTGTTTTCTTCATGATTCAGTAATATTTTCCTCAGAATAGATTGATTCCAAACTTTTTCCTCTGCTTGAGCTAAAAAGTTGTTTTCTTGATTGTCTTTCTTAAAGCCAGATAGTTGCCTCTTGACTGTAGTTTTGTGTCATGTGAAAAAAGAGTTTTGTTCCCAAGAAAATAAACAAACAGATGAACATCCTGTGAGACTGGTGATTCTATCAGTTTTGCCAGGGGTTGTAAAAGCCTGTCTCCAGATGATCATAAATCTAGCTAAGAAGTGTGGTTTGTTAAGTCACTTATTTAAGCCCTACTATCAACGTTTACTCTCTGCATGCACAGTAAAGCTGGGGGGTAGTCTGTAGCTTTCTTAAGCTACACCACTGTTTCATAACTGGTGTTTTATAACTACTGATTTATTGAAACTGTCAGTTTTGAACTAAATTGGATTATGGTTGTTTTGAAACATAGTACTGTATTATATAAGTATAGATTGGAATGAACAGGATTAAATTAAACTGATATAAACTCTTAGCATATATATTTTGTTTTGAAACCTGTCAAACCTGCAATTTATAGTTGAACTTTCTGAACAAGATGACTTGTTGCAGAATAATGTGAGAATTTTCTCTTAAGGCTTTTAGTTGTTGAAAAAAAAGCTGTCAAAGTTGTCAGAATCTAAAGTAACGTATCAGGACAGGAAAACTAATCATTTTGCTCTGTATAATGTAAATGTCTATGTGGAACTTGATTATATGTCTCCAGAAGGAAATTTTTTGAAAAGAAAGTTTGATGTGAAGCAGTAAAAACCTGACCAACACTAATCTCATACTGTCAAGTTACCAGAGAGTGTCTACAGAGAGAGGGCTGACTAGAAGAGCTAGCCTGTTGAGTAATACCAAGTTAATGTCGCAAGTTACTGTAGCATGATAGAAAACTTTGAATCAGTCTGACTGTATGATCTGGTTGAATTGCTTCTCAAGTGTCTTGAGATGACATTTATTGTGAATTGGCGCTATATAAATAAACTGAATTTAACTGAATGGTAGATATCAGAGGAATAAAAAAACAGCCTGTTATAAAAGGGTAACTAAAACAGAAACATTGAGCTAGTGCTTGGTTTTGTGTGCTGTAATGCTGTAATGATTGATATGAGAATTTATTAAACATGCATGAAAAAAAATTAAATTAGTATTTGTGGTAATTATATTTTAACGAAGAGTTATTTTTTATTGTAGGAACATAAAGAGGCCAGCTTGATATAAACTAATTACAATACTGTGCAGCAAGAACCATTAGGCATACATAAAGAGACACCCAATTGTGGTTTAAAGCATAAATGGATTAAATGTTGTGGACAAAAAAGATAGAAAAAAATATATATATATGTATATACACATCTATATATATATATATATATATAAATAAAAAGATCGACTTCAAGCAGGACCTGGAAGGACCTAAGAGACCAGCTGCATGATAAAAGCCTAGCTAATGGATCAATGTAAAAAAGGTAGATGTTCTTCAGGCATTTATTATTCATAGCAAGCTTCTCAGAGCATATGAGAGAGAATTACAGGGCATGGGTCTAAAAAATTATTTTGTCACACCAGAGGCTTGAAGTAATGTCTTCTTCACTGGAAAATAACCTATCTGGTAGTTGGTTTTCAATGCCTATCTTAGTTAATAAACACTTGCATCATTAACACTTATGAAGTTAGGAATATCAAATTAAGTCACAGATTAACACTTCAAACTAAATAAAAAATGTCTCTAGCAGCAATTGCAGTGCACAAGTTTATGCTATCAAACATGCATTTATTCCTTTTCATTTTAAAGTTTTTGATTATATCTGCTGTATTTTAAACAATGTCCAAAATACTGGACGTTTAAAATTTAATTCGATAACTTTAACAGTGTTGGGTTGGATTGCTACATAATAACACATACATTTTTCGAAAAAATGAATAAACTTTCATAATTGATCCTGTATTAAAAATATATGCATAAATACTCTGGAATAATGTATTAACTTACCTTTCTCTTGACCTTCTTAATCAGCTAAGCCTTCAATATTCCTACCCTTGAAATTCAAGTTAGAGATTGGACCTCAGGTGTTTTATTTTTACTCATTCAAGTCCAAGACAATGATCCCTTGTGAACCCCTGGAGCTGCAAACCTCAGGTCACCTGGGTTCTGCTAATTAGAATTAAGTTCATCGCAGAGATGCTCCCTCGGCTCGTCAAGGGTCACAAGAGTGTTTCACACATTGACTCATTAAGGTGGACTACAAGGCTGGTCAAAAGGGAAGCACGGGAGGCAGAAATGTGAATTAAGTAATGCAGCAGTTTAAGTTGGAAACAGCATTGTGCAAGAATGAATCAGCCAATGAAGCAGCTACATTATAATATTAACATTTATGAAGGTGATTTAAGGGCAATTTAATTCTACCTGAAAAAAGAGAAAGAAAAAAAGCAAACTTTAAGTAAAAAAGAGCAAGGAATTTAACTTTTACTAAAAACATTACATTACATTAAATTTTGAGAGCAAATCAGTGTAAATTGCTTAAAAACTGCCAAGTTTTTAATATCACTAACTCTCCTACAACCGATGTCCTAAATAAACCTTTTACATGTTCATTTGAAGGAACAAAAAGTTACATCTGTTGCGGTTGTGTTGGTGATAAGTGAACGAGCATGACATTCTACACCTAAAAACGAGGATTTTTGCCTATGTATTGATTCCACATCCATAACATGTAACTAAGTTCCTCTTGTTTCCTGTGATAAAAGTATTTTGATAAAACACATTCTGTATATGATGCTGGTGAAGATTCTCAGTCATCCAGGACTTGCTTAGGTAAAGAAAGGATTGATTAAAAAAAATATTCCGTTTTTTGGTTGAAAGCATTTAGTCCATCATCCAAAGGGTTTTCTAAATTTACAACAGCCTCAAACTGAATACAGTGCAACTTATATGTGAATGCCGCAATGAAACCAAATGATTGAAATAAATGGGGACACCACCAGCACCCACTGTGCAGTGCGGGTCTGATGACTAATTTCTGCCAGACATCGCAGCAGTCCTTTGTCTCTTTGGCTATGAAATACACAAGCCCAACAGGAAAAATCAGGCACCAGTTAATAAAGAGTTCAGGTAAATTTCAGAAAACAATCACCAACTTATGCTAACATGGCTTACTGTATGTAAACAAAACGCCAAAAACACAAGGAAACAGATGAGCCATTGGATGAGTAAAAAGAAATTAATACGCACCAAGTTTTGCCCGAAAGAGAGTGAACCCACGCAAAAATACTTTCTTACCATGTGGCTGTTTTTGCAGCCAGGGCTGTAGCCAGGCCCAGCTGGCCACAGCATTCAGTATGAGTTACTGCACTGCAGCCTCACTGTACCCACTCTGTAGTCAGTATGAGCCTGCATCAAAGCAAGTGAGGGATTATGGAGACTGACCTCTTCAACCAACAGGGCACTGGATCTTATCCCTTTTTAAAATAATAATTTGATTAATATAACAGATTCATGTCTCTGCCATACTCAGAACATAGATATAGTAAAACTGTCCGAATTTGTTGATTAAAATCTATCATAAAGGCTTTAATGAGAGCCTTATTTTCAGAATAAGGGAAATACAACAAAATATCTGAACTCACCAGCTTGATGCGTATTGACAGAGACATTTGCCAGTGATCGTGGAGCCACACCCAGTCCAGAAACGCCATTCACAGCCTCCACATGGAAGGTATAATTGGCATGAATTGCATAATCCAGTATGGCCACAGAGGTACCAGATATACCGAGCGGCCGTGGAATGAATCTTAGATCTGGTTCACATGGCTCACATGGGGTCACACTACCATCACCTCCATCACATCGTTGACACAGAACATTGTAGGTGATGTCGCTTCTTCCCCCTGTGTTGATGGGAGGCATCCATTGCAAGAAGAGAGCAGTGTCATTGATTAATGAAACAAGATTTCTCGGAGCAGAGGGAGGCCCTGAAGAGAAAGGAAAATAAGAAACAAAGACATTTAATAGAAGAGAAAGTATTTATTTATATTTTTTATACTAAATACTTTTCATTTGACAGGTTTGGGGGCCACTTGCAGAATCCTTTAACAAATAATGTGCAATTAAAATAAGTGAGTAGGTTGTTGAGAAAAAAATATCTTGCTGTATTTCAGTCCAGGTTTGTTTCTGGATAAAAATCCTGCCAGTCCTCATCTTTATTTTAGTTTTCAAAGCCGTCCATGGTATCATTTGGCAAAGAAATGTGAAGTGTCATGAGCGTGTCTTTAAATGTCTGTGTGAAGTTGTGTGGGCGGAAGCTTCTTGCTAAGTTTGAAATGTTTTGTTCCAGCATGAAAACTTCTCTCATGAAAATTCTCTCACACACACAAATATCTAAAATTGGTTTTGAGTCAAGGGTATTCCACTCAATATAACTCAATGTCTGTAAAATCATACAGACCTGTAATGAAAAGGATTTTCTCAACCTTATCAAAAACCTTTTTTTAAACTGAGAAACACAAATAGGGATGACTTAAACAATACATGTTTGTTAGTGTAAGCTTAGAAAGTTTAAGTATTTAAAATACAGTTTTTTTATTGGGAATTTTACTTTGGGTTTCAAAAGAAATCACTGATACTGTAGAAAGAATCATTTCAGGTCTAAATCCAACTGCATGAAATTCTCAGCTAGTCTGAAACAGAAAGTGGCAACACTCCCGTTGATTTCCTCAGAAGGAATGAAATGTGGAAGTCATGTGGGTCATGCAGCTGAAGATACAAGTTACAAATACCAGTATTAAAATGTCCCAGGTTTATTTTCTCTGATAAGTTGATAAAACTACACCTTTTTTTAATTATGAAGCGTTAGCCAACTGCTTCATATCAAAAATCAAGTGTGGTATTTAATATGAGTTTAACCGCTGAGTGAGTGGTGGACAGTGTTTCTTCCCATGAATACTAAATAACAAATTAGATCAGGAAAAAACACTTTTACAAATAAGTTTTTAAACACAAACCTATAAGCCCAGTAAAAATTCAGGAAAGGATAAATAATTTCCAATTACATTATCTAATGCTTACTGTATATTGACCTGATCACTATATAGCTATGGTGAATAGAGTAATTAGAAATTTTAATTAAGTAAATAAATGGGTGGCGCAGCGGGTAGCACTGCTGCCTTGCAGCAAGAAGGTTCTTGGTTCGATTCCCAGCCCGGGGTCTTTCTGCATGGAGTTTGCTTGTTTTCCCTGAGCATGTGTGGGTTCTTTCCGGGTACTCCGGCTTCCTCCCACAGTCCAAAAACATGACTATTAGGTTAATTGGCTTCTCTAGATTCTCCTTAGGTGTGAGTGTGTGCGTGAATGGTTGTATGTCCTGTTTGTCTCTGTGTTGCCCTGCGATTGACTAGCGACCTGTCCAGGGTGTACCCCGCCTCTTGCCCATTGACAGCTGGAGATAGGCACCAGCACCCCTCGCGACCCCAATTGGGACAAGCGTGTCAGATAATGGATTGATGGATTTCTTTTTGCTCAGTGACTCAAAAATGTTGCAGCAGTTTAAATTGATAAGTTTTATTTTTATTGTTGGTTTTAAGGATCATAAGAAATTCACTGGGTAGAGTAAGTTTGTTACAGAGAACACCAAACATGGTGTACTCTACAATGATGTTGCAAAAAATAAAATAAAATAAAAACCCAGACTCTTAAACTGTTTGACACAAACGTAATATGGTTTCGTATTTTCCCAAAAAATAATCCTTAGGTGTTTATGTAGTGTTAGGATTATAAAAACAATAAAAACAGAGCTTTTCTTTAAAGTAGGCAAAAATTGTTGTCCAATTAAGTACTGCAGTAACATATATTCTGATTAGACATGGAAACTGTAGCAAGTGGTTCATGGGATCTTTATGAACATTGATAGAAGAAAAATATTTTTAGAAATACAATGAAACATGCCCATTACTGCTGAATGAAAGGTCAATGTAAGCTCCAGATAGATTCAAGTTACTCAGCAGTACAAGATCATCCCACAACTCTAAGGTCCTCTCTGTGGCATATTACAGAGATTGTAGGAAAGCTAAAATCTCCTGCCTGAAAGAGAAATGTTTATCTCATTGTGAGATTTTTTCTTGAGTCCTACTTACTTGTGCAGGCCATAGAGGAGGGGTCTTGGATACCTCTGTAGAAGCCTTTGTCGCAGTGACAGATCGTAGCAGCCTGGTCGTGGCTGGAACTGTGCAGAGGGCATTTGGAGCATTTAGTGTTTCCAGCAAATGCCTTAAAGAAGCCAGGTTTACAAGCTGGAAGATAAAAAGACAAAAGAAGACTGTTGGGTAAAGGTAGGGTTACTAAGATAATTGCCTCACTAAGCGACCATCTTATTGCGTAATGTACAAAACTATGGACGACAGGAACCTAACTATTGTCTCACCAAAATAAAGACACAAAATCAAAAGATTAGAATTTGGAATATAAAACAAGTTAAAGATTCTGTGTCACTTATTTCTGAAAGTTAAACCCATTTATTCTATAGTGCTAGAGGGAAACATTTCAAGACTTAATTTCACATAGTTCATCCATCCATTACACTTATCCCAAGTGGGGTGGCGAGGGGTGCTGGTGTCCATTTCCAGCTGTCTACAGGCGAGAGGCGGGGTCCACCCTGGACAGGTCGCCAGTCCATCGCAGGGAAACACAGAGACAAACGGGACAAACAACCATTCATGCACACAATCACACCTAAGTAGAATTTAGAGAAGCCACCTAATGTAAAAGTCATCTTTTTGGATTGTGGGAGGAAGCTAGAGTACCCAGAGAGAACCCACACATGCTCAGGAAGAACATGCGAACTCCAAACAAACTGGGCCGGAAATCGCACTCGGAACCTTCTTGCTGAAATGCAGAAGTGCTACCAACTGCGCCACTGAGCAGCCAACATAGTTCAATTTTAATAAAATCATCACGTATAATAAACTGCCAAATTTTAATATATCAGGAAATTTGAATTTAGTGAAAATGTTAGACAAATATCTACAAATGTTTCCTAAGTTAATTCCATCTACTGTATTTGTGTAAAAACATTGTTACAAATCAGTGTGCCCCTGGGCAAGTTTCTTAACCTTAAGCAACCTATCAATCTGCATATTACTTTATTAATGCAGTGTTTCTTTTTTGACTTGTGTACTCTTTTGGGCATTTTGTCAAACCATTAGTACCCCTCTCACTCAAAAGTATTGATGATTGTCCAAAAATGGAAAGTACAATAAATGATAAAAAATAAAAAATATTTTACTAAATCTTTAATTTGCCAGGAAATTAGTAAGGAATCAAAATAAATACAAATGAAAATCGTATTATAAACCTGTATTTATAAAACAAGAGCTCCTCTGAGTAACTCCCTTATAATCATATTTAAACTTGATAATTAGGGAACAAAACACAGAAAAAAAATGATAGTCAGACTGACTTAATTAGTTTTTTTTTTACTTCGTTTTCATCAAAACACCTGAGCTGCTTTGATGAGCTCCAAGACCTCAGTGTCAAAAACAGCTGAAACCAGGCTGTGCTCTACATCCAGTCTGTTCCTCTGCTTGCTTAATATATAAAATTGATAATCAGAATTTTATTTTAAAACCTAATAAATAACTTATTTTCATGTTCCCCTTGCAATGCACTTGTGGACTACTAAGGGTACAAGTATTCCCAATTGGGAATCTCTGTATTAATGTATGCGTGGTTCACGGTGTGATTGGGTGAATGTTGCCATAATGTAAGGCACTTTAAAGAGTGAGTGTGCACAGAAAACAGAGTGTAAATTCACTGCATTTATACTTTACTAGTAGAAGCTTATTTGCAAAGTCTGTCTGTAGCTATTACTAATACAAAATGTTAAATACAGGGTCAGGGCAGCGCAGTACTTGACACAAACTGCTGACTCAATAGATGTCCAGAGGACAAAAAGTCTCTTACACACTCCAAAGGATGGTAGCCACAAAAAGTCCTTTCTAAATAAGCTGCTTTGCATAAAAAGAAAAATATGGAGAGTTAAAACAAAGGAACATGTGTGACAGAAAAAGGGCCCCGGCAACAGGCATGAAAACAGCCTTAAGAGGATTGTCAGACAAAATCCATTTGTAACTTGGGAAAACTTTACATATAGTAAAGTGAGGTTGCAGTTAGCTCACCAAGAGCCCACCTCACACAGATGAATCCTAGAGATGAGCTATAGATGTTGCATCTCTTGTTTCAAGCCACTCTTGGGCCAGAGTGAAAAGCTAAGGAGAAAAAAACTGGACTGTTGCTTCTCATATCAAAATAACAAAATGTATTATGATATAAATATTTTACAGAACTTAAAGTGCCATAAGTTAAGAAAAAACATTTCAGCAAAACGCAAATACACTGTGTGCAGAATTATTAGGCAAATGAGTACATTAACCACATCATAATTTTCATACATGTTGTCCCACTCCAAGCTGTATAGGCTTGAAAGCTACCAATTAAGTAAATCAGGTGGTGTGCATCTCTGTAATGAGAAGGGGTGTGGCCTAATGACATCAACACGCTTTATAAGGTGTTTTTAATTATAAGGAAACTTTCTTTCCATTGGCAAAATTGGTCAGAAAAGGGATTTGACAAACTCTGAAAAGTCAAAAATTGTCAGATGGCTTTCAGAGGGGTGCAGCAGTTTGGAAATTGCCAAGCTTTTGAAGCGGGATCATCGCACAATCAAGCGGTTCATGGCAAATAGCCAACAGGGACACAAGAAGCGTGTTGAAAAAAGAAGACGCAAAATACCTCAAAATAATAACTCAAAATAATGAACTGAGAAGAATCAAGCGTAAAGCTGCCAGGAAGTCATTAGCCACCAGTTGCACCATATTTCAGAGCTGCAACATGTCTGGAGTGCTGAGAAGCACAAGGTGCTCTATACTCAGGGACCTGGCCAAGGTAAGGAAAGCCGAAAAAAGGCCACCTTTGAAGAAGACACATAAGACAAAACATTAAGATTGGGCCAAGAAATATCTAAAGACTGATTTCTCCTAGGTGTTTTGTTCTGATGAAATGAGTGAGTCTTGGTGGGCCAGATGGATGGGCACCTGGCTGAATCAGTAAAGGGCAGCAAGTTTCTTATTGAATCGGACGCCAGCAAGGTGGAGGTGGGGTACTGGTATGGGCTGGGATCATCAAAGATGAGCTTTTGAGACCTTTTTGGGTTGATTTTGGAGTCAAGATCAACTCCCAGACCTACTGCCAGTTTCTGGAAGACACCTTCTTTAAACAGTGGTACAAGAAGAAGACGTCATCATTCAAGAAAAACTTAATTAATCAGGACAATGCTCCGTCACAAGCATCAAAATAGAAAAAGTCTAAAAGAAGAAAAAATAATGACATGGCCCCATTGCTCTGCTGATCTGAACCCCATTGAGAACCTGTGGTCCTTCATGAAATGTGAGATCTACAGGGAGGGAAAACAGTTCACCTCTCTGAATAGCATCTGTGAAGCTGTGGTGGCTGCTGCACACAATGTGGATCGCAACCATATAAAGATACTAACAGAATCTATGGATGGAAGGCTTTTGAGCATCATGGTGAAGAAAGGTGGCTATATTGGTCACTGATTTGTTTTTTGTTTTTTTTGTTTTTGAATGCTGCAAATTTTTATTTCTGAATTTTGAGTTGTTATGTTGGTTTACCTGGTGAAAATAAACAAGTAAGATGAGTATATATTTGTTTTTTATTACGTTGCCTAATAATTCTGCACAGTAATATTTACCTGCACACAAAGGTGTCCTCATAAATTCTTAAAAAAAACGCATCAACTTCCAAAAATATAAAACTTTGATATTAAGAAGTCTTTTGGGTTGATTGAGAACACAATTTTGGCCCCAAAATAAAAAATAATCCTGAAAAATACAACTTGCCTAAAACAGTGTAGAGAAAAATAGTAACAAACTTATATTTCTGAGAAAAGAGAGATCTTTCTCTTATTGCAAAATGTGCAGGTTAAAGTTATGAAGAAATCTTTTCATGCTCTGAATGATAGTTTGGAGGTTTAAAATAAGTAAAATTTTTCTGTTTAAACTTGGCACGCTTAGCCAAACATCTAAGCCTGGCCAAATATGCATATTGAGGGGGGGTAGGAAACAGTTAATTTATATACTGCCTTTTTGGCTCTGTGCAGGCTTTTATTTTTGGTGTTTGGCAATAGGCTGCGTGCTTGATGAACGCAAATTGCTATTTATGTAGATATGACTGGATGAAAGGCAGTTCCATCTTTGCGTTAGCAATTATAGCCTGTACCACAGTAAAAATGCAAAAAACTGAAGGAGAGTCACTTGCAACTGTAAGCCCTGCTCCAAGAAACCCATATGGCAGTATGTTTTGTGATGTTATTTGTTTCTTTTTTAATATTTTTCTATTTTATATTCCGCAGTTCAACAGGCTGGTAGCCAGCATGCTGTGCCTTATTAATTCAATGCAAAAGGAAGCCCAACCAATGAGTGCATGCATTAAGAAGCCAATAAGAACTGATTTTTTACTTTAATCATAATGTTCTGAGAAACAGAAATTTGGGTTTCAAAATTTGGTGGCCAAAAGGTCAGCTAAAAGGATAATGTAGCTTTCCACCATCAGATTGTGTGTGGATGTATGAATAAAAGAATGAAGGACTGCATTGCGTAGCGCTTTGGAGTTCTTAAACATTATAACATTTTCTAAAAGTATAGGCCATTTACTATCTTCCGTAATAAATCTATATAATCAATGAATTACACTCTCTGGAACAAGTGACAAAAAATATTGAACTTTTTAAGATATAAAAAATGTTGGAGCTATACTTATAATGTACTGTTCCAAATTAGAAAATACTTACCAACATATTTTAAAATAAAAATGAAAGTGAAGGCATTATGATCCCAAATATACCTATAACTTCTGTATTACATAACTGGTCTACGGGGGGAGGGGGAATTAAGCTATTAGTACAAAGGATTTTATTTATTTCATACACCCAAACTGTTGAATTGGTATGAATTAAAATCGAAAAAGCTTTTGTCTTTTGACTCAACCCTTTTTAAAGGTTGAGTCAAAGTAGATTCCTCATTATAGCCTATGAAGCCAAACCAAGCAAAAAGGCATTTAACAGTTTGAAAGGCTGTTTTAAATCAAAAGCTACATGCAGAATTTGAAAAGTATTAGTGATGGCTTTATGTAGGTAATTAATAAATTTTTATTCAATTCAGTTGCAATTCTGATTGGATCAATTTTTTGACTTTCAGGTTCATGGTAACTAGATTAC